GTACTTTTAAGTGAAAAGTACTTTTTAGTACATGCATCGTTGCCTTAAAGGGGATAATGTAGCGTACTTTTTGGCGTTTTGCTTTTGGGAGTGATTTTTTGTCATTTCTATTTTGCGATTTTTTCAATTCTTCCTTGTTTCTAACAGAATTTCAAAAGATTTGTCTTGTTGAATGAAATTTTTATATTATTTATAAATAATTATGATAATTTCCAGTTTTAAATTTTAAACAAATTTAATGAATTCAGTTATGAATTAGCATAAACAATTTTTTTTTATTTATATAGTATGTCTGGTGTTTTTAAAAATATTTGCATATTTTGAGGTCAATTTGATGACGAAGAAAGAAGACTGCTTGACGTAGTTTGATTTGATTTGAAAAGATAAAGTGTTGACGTTTTAGACAGTCAGACAAAAAGGTGTACGACTAGCTTGACAACAGTATTTAAAGGGAAAAAGAAAGATTTTATAAAAATATTTGCTAGATTGTTGCAAATTTAACAAAATGCAAATTGATTCGATTCCTTTAGATTACTGCAGTTTCTTTTTATATCTTTTAATGTTTTCGTATTTTATTTTATTCGTTTTTGTTGTTGGTTGTTATTAAATAACAACATTTGTTTTTTTAAATTTTGGCCAAAATGTGCGTTTTTCTTATAGCTTCTATTTTTATGCGATTTTTTAATTTATTTATTTACTTTGACATTGTTTAAGAGAATGCCGAATGCTGCTCTAAAGGTTTTTGAGAAAATCTTCTTTTAAAAAACTGAAATCTATATATATAAAAGAGTAGCGTTACTAACTGACTGATTCATCATCGCACAGCCCAAACGGCTGAACCTAGAATCATGAAATTTTGACAGTAGATGTGTTTTGGTTATGTAGATCCACTAAGGAGGGATTTTTGGAAATTTGTACATTTACGGTTAAAAAGGGGAAAAAACGTGTAAAACAGGTTTTCTTAATTATCTTACACAATATTAGTGATACAAGAAAAAATTTAAATGCATCTGTATCTACTCTTAAAATGAGCAGATGGGTGTCTGGTACTTTTTTGAAATTCGTACTTTTAAGGGGTAAAAATGTGTAACAAATGTGATTTTGGTACCTTTTTTGGCCCCTTATAACTTTTGAATAAAATTTTTATAAATATTTTGGATACATCTCCCAAAATTATGAGACACCTGTTTCGTACTTTTTTAAAATTCAGTCCTTTTTGGGTGTAAAAGGGAGAAAACTGTACTCTTTTTTAGCACATTAAGAAAACTTTTTCGGTTTATTGAGTTATTCCTATTAAATTACGGACTAACTCTGTAATATTTATTGTAAAATTTTTGATATTTCACTGGGGAAAAAGTACCAAAAAGAGAAAAAACGGGAAATTTAATTTTATTCAAACTCTTTGAGCCAATTTTTATAAAATTTTAAAAAAGTGTGTTTTATCTGTGATATATAGATTTAAATACGGAACATTTTGTAAACTTAATTCTCGAAAAAGTATATTTCTAAGCGAAAAGGGGAAAAATTGTATTCTTTATTAGTACTTTCCACTTAGGTATTCCACTTTTGGTACTTTTTCTTTCTTCAAATGATACTCTTTGTATGTTCTTTAATATGAATTCAAAACACATGATTATTAAACATACACGATCCTCATTGAATAAGACTCTTTAAGAGAGAACTTTTTAGTACTTTTTATCTCATAAATGGTACTTTTTTAATTTTCTAAAATATTCAACCTAGGTCTTAACTGAATAATATTCTGTAAGTGGGAACTATTTGGTACTTTTCTATTCTTCAAATGGTACCTTTTAGATTCTTTATAATGGTTAACCGGAACACACGATCCTTATTAAATGAGAATTTAAAGAGAGAGAGAGAGATTTTTGTACTTTTTCGATGGTACTTTTGATATTTTTACGATATTGGACATAGATATTGAAAATAAAATTTAAAATGTAGGGACCCTAGTGTATGAGAATCTACTGAAAGGTACTTTTGGTACTTTTTCATTCATTAAAATTATATTATTTGAATTGTATATAATATTGAACACAGAAACATACAATTATTAAATAATAATCTATTAGAGGTATTTTATAGTACTTTTTTTCAAATAGTACTTTCGAAATTTTCTATAATGTGGAAGCTAAATGAATGAAACTAAAAATACAAGCTTCTTACTGAATGCGAATTTAATCACGTAATATTGAACGTATAAAACTGAAACATTAAAAAAATGTTTAATCAATTTTAATTTTCTATAAAAGGACACAAAACTTTGTATGTATTTAATTTAAGTTAGGGTAGCGAAGCACCCAGGGTATGCTAGTTTTTTATAAAATTATCAATGTTATTCTAAATTCCAAAACTTTCAAATTTTCTAATAATTAAACATAATTAAGTAACTAATTTGTATAATTACATAGTTAATTTTTGAAATCTTCAAAACCTTTATACGTTTTCTCTTACAATAAACGTTAATTATAAATCGAATGATCATCTAACTCTACCCATCCATCCATTCATCATTATCATCTATCAATTGTCATGCTTTTTGTTTGCCTCTTAATACATAATCATGTCAGCTGATGAATAGATCGATAAGCTATGTATCTAAATATCTCTTTTTCTCAACATTTATCTCATTATTTATGTTGTTTCTTTTTTTTTATTTTTCAAATATACTCATGTAGACTTTTATAGATGTTTTTGAAAAAAAGGTGTTAAATAATCCCATTTTGACATGATTTTGTTGTTCGTTTAAAAATACAGAATAACAATATAAAGCAAAAATTATACAAATATATCAACTAAACTGATTAAGTAACCTATTTTATTTTGATATCTGAAATTTAAATTTGTTTTAAAAACAAATGAAAGGAAAAATTTACAAAAGAAAGTGTTAGAAAACACACCTAATTACTAAAGGAATTAAAAAAAAAAATACACAAACAGCTTTAACAAAGAGTTTGATGACCCTTTCCCTGAAAAAGTTATTCGGAAACTGACGACTTCTTCTATGGAAAAATTCATCAAATACTCATGTCTTAGAGAAAACTTCATTTGAATCTGATTAAATTTTAGCAGAAAGTGGTGATCACCTCAATCTAACTCTGACGATCATTTCTATATGTTGATTTCTGTAGAAAAACTGATTCCTCAGAAGATGATGATCTTCACAATCTGATCTGAATCATTAGAATCAAATGATCTTCTTCATAGAAAATATTATCAGAACCTGATGATCTGACGATCTTATCATAGAAAGTATCATCATAATCTGATGATCTCTTTCATAGAAAACTATCACTAGAATCTGATGATCTTTTTCATAGAAAAAATCATCAAAATCTGATGATCTTTTTTATAGAAAATATCACCAGAATCAGATGATCTAAACTCATCAGAATCTGATGATCTTTATCATAGAAAATATCATCAGAATCTAATGATCTAATTCATAGAAAATATCATCACAATCTGATGATCTTATTCATAGGAAATATCATCAGAAGCAAATAATCTTTTTCATAGAAATATTATCATAATCTGATGATCATTTTCACAGAAAATATTATCAGAATCTGATGATCTTTCCCATAGAAACTGTCATCAGAATCTGATGATCCTTTTCATCAGATTCTGATGATCTTTTTCGTAGAAAATGTCATCAGATTCCGGTGATCTTTCTCATAGGAAATATAATCAGATTCTGATGATTTTTTTTATAGAAAATGTCAGCAGAATCTAGAAAATTAACATTTGAATCTGATGATCTGTTTTATAGAAACTATCATCAGAATCTGAAGATATATTTCATAGAAAATATCATTAAAATCTGATGATATTTTTCATAGAAAATGATCATCAGAATCTTTTTCGTAGAAAACTATCATCAGAATCTGATGATCTTTTTCATAGAATCTGATGATCTCTTTCATAGAAAACAAGCATCAGCATCTGGTGATCTTTTTCATATAAAATGTCATCAGAATCTGATGATCTTTTTTATAGAAAATGTAATCAGTTTCTGATGATATTTTCATAGAATATATCTCCAGATTCTGATGAACTTTTCTATAGAAAATATCATCAGATTCTGATGATGGTTTTCTATGAAAAAGATCATCAGAATCTGATGATATTATCATAGAAAATATCATTATAATCTGATGACCTTTTTTGTAGAAAATATCAGAATCTGATGATCTTTTTCATAGAAAATATTATAAGATTCTAATGATCTTTTTCAAAGAAATCTATCATCAGAATCTGATGATATTTTACATTAAAATATCATCAGAATCTGATGATCTTTTTCATCGAAAATTCTTATGATCTTTTTTATCAGATTCTAATGATCATTTTTATAGAAAATGTTATCAGGATCTGATGATCTTTGTCATCATATTCTGAAGATCTTTTCATAGAAAATATCTGATGAATCTGATCATCTTTCATAGAAAAATCTTTCATAATTTGATGATGATCTTTAGAATCTGAATGAAGTTATGTCCTGAATGTAATGAAACTTATCACAATCTGAAGATCATTCTTTTAGGAAACACATCAGAGTCTTAGGGAAACTCTTGATCTTTCTGATCTTTGCTTAAAAGTTTTTTTTTGTTTTTTAACTGAAAGAAAACTTAAATTAACTCTTAAACTATTAAAAAATTTTGGTAAATTAATTTAATTTTTTTTATTTTTATCTTTTATTTTCAGTCAATAGAAAATCTCATTTATCCAGCAAATCCTCAACAAAAAAATTATAAATTAAATTAAAGTGAATAATTTTTGCAAAAAAAAGTGAAAAATAAATCAATTAAAAAATTAAATAAAAGTGAAGTGATAAGTGTTAAAAATCCACTTTAAAAGTTTTTCTCATTCAATTAAAAATCATTAAATAAAAAAAATCTTTAAAAATTTCAATTCATAAAAATTAAAAAAGAATCAATTAAATTAAACATAAAATGGCAACATTGATTTAAATACCGCCAAATTACACATTTAACAACGAATTCAATTATAATTCAAACAACAGCGACAGCAATAGCAGTCACTGCAGCAGCAACAGCAGCACCAGCGCTAAAACTGCCTGTGACGAACCACCCAAAATTAGTAAATTCTTTAGCAACAGCTCCAACTATCAGAGTAAAATTCAACAATTGATCAGTTTCAGTTTTACTTCATCGAATTTTATTTTCATAACGTTCATCTTGAGTATTAGTAAACTCTGTACTACGGCTGCTACTGATCCCAGTCAAACTGGCGCACCTCAACCTAATACCGCTGTACCCAGTTTTCTTATGCCCAATATAAGTGGTTCGGCTTTATTGGAGAAATTAAATTCGATTCGTGCCAATACACTGGGTCCACCACCTCCACCACCGTCATCAGCGGTTAAAGGTAAAAATACACCAGCCGCAGCAAATAGTTTAACTCAGGGTAGTAGTGGTGGCCGGAAGTAGTGCCATTTCAGCTGCATCTGCATCTTCTATATCATCTCCGACTTCCTCGGCCTTTATCGCCTTCGTCGGCTCATCTTCCTCATCATTAAATGCTTTCCATCTTTGTTCAATAGTAGAGATTTAATAAATAAGGATATGAAATTTTTAAATGTCTCAGGCAAAATCGGCACATCTTTGGGCATAGGTAAGTTATTCTCTTTACTTATTTATTTTGATCTAAAACACTTTTACCTTTTAACCTTAAATGTCTCTTAAAATATTATTATTATTATTACATATTGCCGTTTTCCTCATTTTGCTACAGATGATCATTGTCATCATGATGAAGTTTGCAATGAGAAACGTGTCTGGTTTATCAAGTTTATTTTAAAATTTTTTTCTCCTTAAGTTTTCAGTTTTATTTTTAGCCCAAACGTACAAGTTTTGTTTGTAACTATTTTAAGATTTTCTCGCTTTTTTTTAGAGTTAAACAGAAAATTTATAAATAACTCTGTGGGCCTTAGGTAATGAAAAATGTGCTTTTCTTTTTGCAGTTTTGTTTGTTTCTTTCTGTACTTTTTGCTGCTGATGTACTTATGGTTTATTTCTAAGTCCCAACATTAAGCAGGGAGAGACAAACTCTTATTCCAATGGGCAACATTTTTTTTGTAGAAAATTTGGAAATTATAGAGCAAATTTTGATAGAAAAAGTTGCTATACACTAGCAAGTTTTTATAGAAAATGTTACTCTACACCAGAGCACGTTTTTATAGAAAAAGTTGCTCTAACGAAGAGCAAGTTTTTCTAGAAAAAGTTGTTCTACACTAGAGCAAGTTTTATAGAAAAACGTTGCTCTAGACTAGAGCAAGTTTTTCTAGAGAAAGTTGCTCTAAAGAAGAGCAAGTTTTTCTAGAAAAAGTTGCTCTACACTAGAGCAAGTTTTAATGGAAAAAGTTGCTATATACAACAGCAAGCTTTTATAGAAAAAGTTATTCTACTTTAGAGCAAGTTTCAATAGAAAAAAGTTGCTCTACACTAGAGCAAGTTTTTATAGAAAAAGTGCTCTACACTAGAGCAAGTTTTTATAGAAAAAGTTGTTCTACACTAGAGCAAGTTTTATAGAAAAAGTTGCTCTAGACTAGAGCAAGTTTTTATAGATAAAGTTGCTTTAAACTAGAGCAAGTTTTTATAGAAAAGTTGTTCTACACTAGAGTAAGTTTTTATAGAAAAAGTTGCTCTACACTAGAGCAAGTTTTTATAGAAAAAGTTGCTCTACATTAGAGCAACTTTTTATAGAGAAAGTTGCTCTACATTAGAGCAAGTTTTTATAGAGAAAGTTGCTCTACACTAGAGCAAGTTTTTACAGAAAAAGTTGCGCTAAACAAGAAAAAGTTGCCCTAAAGAAGAGCAAATTTTTATAGCAAAAGTTGCTCTTAACAGGAGCAAGTTTTATAGAAAAAGTTGCTCTAAACAAGAGCAAGATTTTATAGAAAGGTTGCTTTTAACAAGACCATGTTTCTACACAAAAAGTTGCTCTAAACAAAAGCAAGTTTTTATAGAAAAAGCTGTTCTAGACAAGAGCAAGTTGCTCTGAACAGAGGAAGTTTTTATAGAAAAAGTTGTTCTGGAATAGAGAAAGTTTTTATAGAAAAGAGTTGCTCTAGACTAGAACAAGTTTTTATAGAAAATAGTTGCTCTAGATTACAGCAAGTTTTTTTTAAAAAAGAAAAAAGTTGCTCTGGGCTAAAGCAAATTTTTAGAAAAAAGTTGCTGCGTACTCGAGTAAGTTTTTAGAGAAAAGTTGCTCGGGATTAGAGCAAGTTTTTTATAGAAAAAGGTTGCTCTGGACTAGAACAACTTTTTGTATAAGTTGAACAGCACTAGAACAAGTTTTTATAGAAAAATGTTCCTCTATAACATGTCTATTATACATATAGCAAATTTGTTCTGAATCTAGGAATTTTTCCTATGCTTTCTTCAATTGTCTTGACATTCGAATGCAATTTTTTCTTTTTTTTAATTAATTCTGATTTATTTTCTTGCTTCA